TCAGTTCCCGGCTTTTGATATTCGTTGATGAGAGACTGGAAATTGGACAAGCGAATGGAATTTCCTGATAATGTTTGTGCCATTTGATGCTTCTACGAAAAGTCCGGAATTTCGGGATAAATTGCGGGATTTTGGGATGAAAAGCAGCCATGATTAACCAGTTAATGTTTGTCATCACTTCATCACCTTGCAGAAAATCCTGCGTCACACTATTAGAGATGGGTGCCGACATCAACAGCCCTGATACCGTGGGCTGGACTCCCCTGTTGTGGGCTGCTAAGGCCGGAAACGTCGGCGTTGTAGAACTCCTTCTCGAGAGAGGCGTGCTCACAGATCACGTGGATATCGATGGTAACGCGGCACTTCATGTAGCAGCACACTTCAATCAAGTGGAGACTACCAGGATTCTGATGAATTATGGGGCAAACTTGCTGCTACTCAACAAACGTGGAATGACATGCTTGGACGTTGCTATGGAAGCGCAGAATAATGAAGTGGTGATGGTTATTGTCAAACATCAAAGGTATTGTACACTACCAAACATTTTGTTTATCGTTCAAATTCGATTCCATTTTTTTTTTTTTTAAATTTTCTATTTAAAGATGTTGCGCTGTCAATTAGCTTCATTTGCCAAACATTGTCACAAAAACTGACTTTCATACAACATTTCTAGGACAGGAACCCAAAGAAATGTTTTTTCGCTGTCTCACTGGACCAGTTAAATTTAAAATCTTAAGTAAACTGAGAACCATTTTGATAGAGCAGACAGACAAACAGACCATAGACACAGATAGGCAGACAGATAGGTTGACAGGTAGGCAAGCAGACAGACAGAAAGACGGACAGAAAGGCAGTCAGACAGATAGACAGACAAACACACACACACACAGGCAGACAGGCAGACAGACAGGTAGACAGGCAGACAGACAGATAGACAGAAAGACAGATAGACAGACACTCGGACAGATAGACAGACAGGCAGGCAGAGAGGCTGACAGACATATAGACAGACAGAAAGATACACAGACAGTCGGACAGGCAGACAGACAAATAGGCAGGCAAACAGAC